AGAGCAGAGGTTGCTAGGTCCAGGGCCAAGGCTCCAGAGGGTTCCAGAGTCCTGATGAGGACTTCCAGGTTATCAGAGGAAGTCCCTGAAGGGTATGGAGCAGGACATGAGTGGTCATCACATCACTGTGGCTATGAGAATAGACTGGACTTGAGAAGGTGGGGACTGCTGCTGTCCTATTCCCTGGCCACTGCATGAAAAGCCACACACCAGAGGGAGGATACAGGCTTTACCATGAAGGCTATTTCTCCAAAGGCCTGCCTGTAAGTTGTGGAGTTTAGGTTGCATTAGAGACTCACTCCAACCTCACTTTCAGGGTATTGGCTCCACCAGCCCCATGCTAGAGGCTAGGGGACAAGACATCTGATCTCTGGGGAGATGAGGTATAACTCAAGCTCTCTGAGCCAGCCAGAAAGGGAGAGGAAACCTGAAGCTCTGCCTCTCCACAGGCCTCAAACTAAAACGTGTTCTCAAAGAGCATCAGCCCTTTTCATGCCTCCTCCAGTCACCCATGGTCTACAGCAGCAGATCCAGACCTGCCCAGCCATGGTCTTGGCTAGTCTCACCACTCAAACTGCTGCATACCCATAGGCCCTCAAACACCTCTGCCTGGCTGTTCACACCCTTATAGTGAGAAAGCCTGCAGGAACTGAGGCAGCCCCACACAGAACCCTCTTGTGTCTTGAAGGATGGGGAAAGCAAATCACATCTTTAGCTCAAGTGTAGAGTTAGAGCTACAGAGCTGCATCCATACTGCACCCCCACATACTCCTTTGTCTGCCTTGCCTTTTCTCCTGTCTTCCTCTCTCCTCTCCCTCCTTGGTGCTTCACAGACACCGAGTGCTTAGGGTGGCTAGCAGGACTGAGAGCTGAAAATGTTAAAAGCTTGGCCTTTCAAAAGCAAAGGGGTAAATACAGTTAGCCTTGAATAACACAGGCTTATGTGAACTAAGAGAAGACTCTTGAGAGTCCCTTGGACTGCAAGGAGATCCAACCAGTCCATCCTAAAGGAATTCGGTCCTGAATATTCATTGGAAGGACTGATGCTGAAGCTGAAACTCCAGTACTTTGACCACCTGATGCAAAGAACTGACTCACTGGAAAAGACCCTGATGCTGGGAAAGATTGAGGGCAGGAGGAGAAGAAGATGACAGAGGATAAGATGGTTGGATGGCTTCACTGACTCAATGGACATGAATTTGAGCAAGTTCCGGGAGTTGGTGATGGACAGGAGGCCTGGCGTGCTGCAGTCCATGGGGTGGCAAAGAGTCAGACACGACTGAGTGACTGAACGGAACTGAACTATGTGAGTTCACTTATACATGGATTCTTTTTCAGTAACTATGTACTAGAGTACTACACGATTCTCATTTGGGAGCCAGCAGTGCAGAGGGCTCCATTATAAAGTTACACACAGATTTGTGAATGCACAGAGGTAAGCAACCCTAGTCCCTATGTGTTGAAGAGTCAACTGTACTTGCGTAAAGCCTTTCATCAAACATTACTCCTACCTTGAAGATGAAGCCATGATATACTGGGAACACCAGGTTATCTTTACTTGCAGAGTCTAAGAATCTGTAAGAAAATGGAAGTCAGTTTTAAGAAATCATATGCAAGACAATAGGACCTTCTGTGCCATTTGAGGGAAAAAAAATCTCTAGATTCACTACTAACCAGAGGGAAATAGATCAAGTACACATAGAAAATGATGTGTAGTTGACTGGCTAGTCAGAGGAGAAAAGAAGCTCCTTCATCTCACACCTCACAACAAAATACATTCTGGGACAGTGTTTCCCATAGTCAGAACTATTGGCATGGTGTTTGTTATAGGGGGCTCTCCTATGTATTGTGTGATGTTTAACAGCATTCCAGGCCTCCATTTACTACATACCAGTAGAACTGTCCCACTGGTCATGAAAAACAAAAGGGTTTCTAGACATCACCAAGTGTTCCCTGGTGGGAAGGACAGGATGTAAAATCTCCCTTGGTTGAAAACTACTGTCCTACATCAGTGCTGCCAATAGAATTTGCCACAATGATAGAAATATTTTGTATCATTGCTATCCAATACGGTAGGCATGAGACACATATGAAGATTAAGCACTGGATATATGGCTAGTGTGACTGAGACACTGAATTTTCAATTTTATGTAATTTTTAGTAATTCTAATTTACATAGTCACATGTGGACAGTGGCTACTTTTTAGACAGTGAAGTCCTAGATGTATTAAGCACTAATTGCAAAAAAAAAAAAGCAAAACTTTAAAACTTTTGAAGTATATTAATGGCCACAGCATGGGGAAACCTTTCTTTTAGAAAACACAGAAACTCAAAGGAGGATGGACAATTTTAACTATATCAAACTTCCAACAAATCTGTAGTAGGTTGTTTTTGAACTGTGGTGTTGGAGAAGACTCTTGAGAGTCCCTTGGACTGCAAGGAGGTCAAACCAGTCAATCCTAAAGCAAATCAACTCTGAATATTCACTGGAAGGACTGATGCTGAAGCTGAAGCTCCAACACTTTGACCACCTGATATGAAGAACTGTCTCATTGGAAAAGACCCTGATACTGGGAAAGATTGAAGGCAGGAGGATAAGGGGACAATAGAGAACAAGATGGTTGGATGGCATCACCGACTCAATGGACATGAGTTTGAGGAAGCTCCGGGAGATGGTGAAGGACAGGGAAGCCTGGCATGCTGCAGTCCATGGGGTCGCAAAGAGTCGGACATGACTGAGTGACTGAACTGACTGATCCCTAGAAGCCAACACAGCTCCTGGCATGTAACAGGCACACAGTAAATACCTTCTGAACTGAACAACTTCTGCTGCAGAGCAAATGGCCATACTGCAGGGCATTCTTCCAATTCTATAGCAGGCTTTCATTTTCATCTTAACTTTTTGGCTTTAAGACAGCTATTTAGTAAAGTACTAAGGAACTCAATTCTTTTTTTTTTTTTTTTAGGAACTCAATTCTTAATTCACCCTAACAAAAATGCATTCCTCAAGATTCTCTAAAACTTTGCATAGGAAATGTGTAGCAATGGAGAGCCAACTGATACAGTGGACTCAAACAAGAACAGAAGGGATAGCTCAGCAGAAAGGGTAGGAAAAGCCATTTCTCTCTTTCAGGGGACCTCTGGCTGTGCTCCTCAGTCCCTCCATCCCCTACTGTACGGCCCTTCCGTCCTTCTTGCCCTTCTTGACAGAACCACCAGAGGAAATGGACAGGAGGAAACAGTGCCTCTCCAGGCTAAGCAAATTCTCGACGGGAATGACTTCCAGAAAGAGGCTGTTGGGCAGCCGTATAAAGCAGCCCTTAATTTCTTCGCTCCTTTAGCAAACATCAGAAGTGCCTACTAGATACCTAAGCATGTATAAAATCACTACTCTAACAGGGCCACCAAAAAGAAGAGGTAGGAGAGATTAAGGTCTACAAAACAAGACTTAGTTAGATCTAGTCGGGAAAGTCACAGAACTTCTGTCTAAGGAAAGGATAATTAGACCTTCCCTAGGAAAGAGACCCTCCAAAAGAGTACAAATTCCCTGAGGAGGCAGAGAACAGCATCCCAAGCAGAAGAAACAGCAAACACGCAGGAAAGCAAAGACAATTATGACAGGGTAGAGAACCCAAGCAAAGGGTATACAAAGAGACTGGATCAGCTATGCCATGTCTTGAAGCACTGTTTAAAGAGACTTATCTTTAATGTAAAGCAAAAGGAAATAAAAAAAGATTATAGGCAGAGCATGACACAGTTGGGTTTACATTTTAATAAGTTTATTCTGACTGTGGTATAGACAACTAAGTGAGGGCACCAAAGCAGATGTAGGGAGATAAGAGAGATCATCAGGATGGTGGTGCTTATGGCAAAAAGTGGGCCAGCCCAATTAGGATTCAAAAAGTAAACCAACAAGTTTGGATGATTGAGGGGGAGGGAGAGGGCTGATCAGGGAGGCCTCCCAGAGTTAAGGCTTAGTGGCTAAGGTAGGGTGGTGCCATTCACAGAGGCCAGGAGCAGAACTATGGCATGAGATGTGGGTGATTTGGAGCTGTATCTTGCACATATAGGGATGGAAATGCTTTTGAGATAACCAGAAAGGTACTGAAAGGCCACAGTCCCTCTGGGGCTGAGACAAAGAAATGGCCTGGGCTAAAGTCATAAATGAGTCAGTTTTCTGGGGATTTGTGGAAGCCCCAAAGCCACAAGAATCCCTGAAGCCCCAGGTGTTACCCAGGGAGGAAGCCCACATTGAAAGAGAAGCTGGAAAAGGAGGACATCTTCAGAGAGGTCTAAGAGATCTAACGGCAGGAGGTTGACCTGAGAGACAGATAAACCAGGAGATGCTGAGCAGTCAAGGGCCAGATGTGTCAAGGCACAGGTGTGCAAAGCTGTGGCTCAGCTGGACAGTCTCAGTTGGACATTCCCAGAGGCTCAGCTGGATATTCTCAACTGGCTCTGGCATCCAGGAAGAAAAGGCTCTTTGATTTGAGATCTGATGTTCCTACAGCCATTCTGAAGGATCTTGGAGGTGAGGGGACCTCTAGTGCTTAAAATATTAAATTTTCCAATGAGACAGGACAACTAAATGGAACTAAATCCTGACTTGGATCCTATACCACAAAAACGAAATGGTTGAGAAGAGCAAAAAATTCTGAACAAGGCCTGTAGACCTTACGTGTCCTGGTTTCGCTAACTGCTCTCTTAAGTAAGATGTTAACATTTGGGAAACCCAGGTGACTCGAATGTAGGGATTCTTTGTATTAGTTTTCAAACGTGTCTCATTTTTTAAAGTTACTTAGAAAAAACATTTTTTAATAAGACATTTTATAAACGTAAATGCCTCAAAGTTAAGCCAGGTGCAAAACGGCTCAAGAATGGCCTTTGAGATACGGGGCCCTCCTCGTACTTATCTCAATGCTAAACAAAAAAGGGGAAGAAATGAAAACAAAGATGCTATGCAACCTCAGCGATCCCAGAAGCAGTGAGAAACTGTGGAAATGCCCAAATCGCCCTTCACACCCCCCCCCCCCCCCAACGCAGAACCTCCTCTCCCCCGAAAGGCCAAGGCCTCTAAGCACGCCAGATCCCGCCGACCCCGCCCACAAATGTCCACCCGCTCCGCCCCCAGCGTCAGCCCGCCCCAGCCCCAGCTCCGCCCACAGCAGTCCTTCCCGCCCCTGCCCGTCCTTGCCCCACCCCCGATCCCGCCCAAGGGCCCTGGCCACTCCTCCCTTCGTACATCCAGCGTTAGCTGGCCCCGGCAACCCGGCCTAGCCCAAAGGCTACCACCCCCACGCTCGCTCCGCCCCAGTTGACCCCGCCCCGGTGCCGGCCCCGCCTTCCGCCCCGCAGGGGACCCCCTCAAACGGCTCTCTGAACTCGAAGCCCCGAGGTCCGCTGTGCCTGGACCAGTCCCACCTACTCACTGTCCGCCCGCGGCAGCGAGGCCCAACTCCTGGGGCACCGTTGGGAAAAAAACATCGCTAGGGTCCGCCGCTCCCACATCCAAGAGGGGTCTAGTCGGCGGTGCAAGCGGGGCGACCTCGACCTGCGATGAACAGACTGGAGCCTCGTGGTTCGTGCCAGATACCACTCGTAGCGCGGAGCCTAGAGCGCCTCGGCGCTGTTGGCGTCGGCCGTCGCGGCAGCGCAACGTCCGGCAAGAGAGCGCTCCACTCGCCTTCGGCCCGCCTTCCGCTCCCCGCCCAGGACACACCCCTGCTTAGGACACGCCCCCGATCCCAGCAACCAACGAGACTTTAGGGCTTCCGCGGAGCTCAGGGGAAACCCGGAAGTGCCTCTGAGGCCGGGGCCAGGGCAGTGAAATATACTCGGCCCCTCTTGCACCCTCCACTCGCCCGATTCCTTTACTTGATAGCCTAGGTACTTTCCTCTCTATTACTCACTAAGGCACGAAACCTTTTTTTCTCTCTAGGTGGGTGGTTCTCCAATATAATTCCAACAACAGCTTCACTTGGGAACATGATAGAAATGCATATTCTGGGCCCCCAACCAGAAATACCTAATTAGAAATTCCGAGACTTGGCCCAGTAATCTGCATAACCTGCTCAACTTTACACCTTGGACTTTTTAGTTTGGATAATTCTTTGTCATGGGGGCCTGTCCTGTGTATTGCAGGTAGGCTCACCAGATGTAAATCAGGGTACTCAGTTAAGTTCGAATTTCAGATAAATATATACTCTAAGATTAATCTTAGATTGGCATGCTGCAGTCCATGGGGCAGCAAAGAGTTGGTCAGGACTGAACAGTAAGATTAATCTAGCAGTTAAGTATTTCATCTGGTGACGCTGCTGTTCAGTCCCTCAATCCTGTCCAATTCTTTGGGACCCCATGGACTGCATGCAGCATGCCAGGCTTCCCTGTCCTTCACCATCCCCCAGAGTTTGCTCAAGCTCATGTCCATTGAGTCGGTGGTGCCATCCAACCATTTCATCCTCTGTCTCCCTCTTCTCCCCATGCTCTCAATCTTTCCCAGCATCAGGGTCTTTTCCAATAAGTTGGCTCTTCCCATCAGGTGGCAAAGTATTGGAGGTTCAACTTCAGCATCATTCCTTCCAATGAGTATTCAGGAATGATTTCCTTTAGGATTACTAGTTTGATCTCCTTGTTGTCCAAGGGACTTTCAAGAGTCTCCTCTAGCACCACAGTTCAAAAGCATCAATTATTCAGCATCCAGCCTTCTTTATGGTCCAAATTTCACATCTGTACTTAACTATTGGAAAAACCATAGCCTTGAATATGTGGACCTTTATCAGCAAAGTGATGTCTCTGCTTTTTAATAAAAATATGGTAGGTTTGTCATAGCTTTTCTTCCACAAAGCAAGCATCTTTTAATTTCATAGCTGCAGTCACCATTTGCAGTGATTTTGGAGCCCAAGAAAATTAAGTCTCTCATTGTTTCCATTTTTTCACCATCTGTTTGCCATGAAGTGATGGAAGCAAAATGCCATGATCTTAGTGTTTTGAATTTTGAGTTTTAAGCCAGCTTTTTCACTCTCCTCTTTAATCAAGTGGCTCTTTAGCTCCTCTTTACTTTCTGCATAAGGGTGGTGTCATCTGTATATGTGAGGTTATTGATATTTCTCCTGCAAGCTTGATTCCAGCTTGTGATTTATCCAGCCCAATGTTTTTCTTGATATACTCTGCATATAAGTTAAATAAGCAGGGTGACAATGTACAGTCTTGACATATTCCTTTCCCAATTTTGAACCAGTCCATTATTCCATGTCTGATTCTGTTACTTCTTGACTGACATACAGGTTTCTCAGGAGGCAGGTAAGGTGGTTTGGTATTTCCATCTCTTTAAGAATTTTCCATAGTTTGTTGTAATCCAGACAGTAAAAGGCTTTCTCATAGTCAGTGAAGCAGAAGTACGTATTTTTCTGGAATTCTCTTGCTTTTCCTGTGACCCAACGGATGTTGGCAATTTGATATTTGGTTCCTTTGACTTTTTAAAATCCAGCTTGTGCATCTCAAAGTTCTTGGTTCAAGTACTGTTGAAGCCTAGCTTGAAGGATTTTGAGCATTACCTTGCTAGCATGTGAAATGAGCACAACTGTGCAGTAGTTTGAACATTTTTTAGCATTGTTCTTCTTTAGGAATGGAATGAAAGCTGACCTTTTCCTGTGACCACTACTGAGTTTTCCAAATTCACTGGCATATTGAGTGCAGCCTTTTTATACTGTTCATGGCAAGAACAGTGGCAAGAATACTGGAGTGGCTTCCCAGTCCCTCCTCCAGGAGATCAAACCAGTCAATCCTAAGGGAAATCAACCCTGAATATTCATTGGAAGGACTGACGCTAAGGCTGAATCCCCAATACTTTGGCCACCTGATGTGAAGAGCCAGCTCACTGGAAAAGACCCTGATATTGGGAAAGACTGAAGGCAAAAGGAGAAGAGGGCAGCAGATGGTTGGATGGCATCAGCGATTCAATGGACTTGAACTTAGTGAACTCTGGGAGATGGTAAGGGACACAGGGAGGCCTGGTGTACTGCAGTCCATGGAGTCACAAAGAATCAGACACCTCTTAGTGACTGAACAACAACAATGAGTGAAACACTTTAACAGAATCATCTTTTAGGATTTGAAATAGCTCAGCTGGAATTTCATTGCCTGCATTAGCTTTGTTCATAGTAATGCTTCCTGAGGCTCACGTGACTTCACACTCCAGGATACCTGGTTCTATGGGAGTGATCACATTATCATGGTTATCCAGGTCATTAAGACCTTTTTTGCTGATTCTACCTATAGGTATTTTTATTTGCTAAATCTAGTAGCACTGATTTAGGATTTTGAGCATCCCTAGGCTGTATCCACTAGGTGCCCGTAGCAAACCACACCCCCGTTCCACCAGTTATGAGAACATCAACTACAAACTGGCACTTGCCATGGGTGCTTTCCATGTACTTCTACAAGGATTAAGTCATGTGCTGCTGCAGCTGCTGACCTTCAACACATCCTGAAGGAGTTGAGGCTGGAGAGAAATGAGGCACTCTGTGCTCAGAGAAAAACTGGCAGGACAGGTTCTTCAGATAGTTAGGTATTCTCAGGAGCTGATTTTATGAGCCCAATTCTCATATCATCTCATATCTAGAAAAGCACCACAGTCCTTCATGGTGATGACTGTTTCTTGTGACTAGCAGAAGCTTCACGAGACTAGTAGAAACCTTTTGGAAAATATGTGCTTGATTGCAGGTACTCCCCCCATTACTAAAATCACATATATACTGACCTTTCCCCCTTGCCTCTGTGGAGCAGTTTCTCAGAGGTATCTGAGGTGCTGTCTCCTGAATTGCAGTCCTCATTTTTGCCCCAAATAAAACTTAACTCACAAATCTCACATTGTGCTTTTTTTTGGGGGGGTGGGGGGGGAGGTTGACAAGAACTCAAATTGTCTGCAGGTACTCTGAAGGGGGTGGTGGGCAAAGTCCCCTTTCCACCCAGGATTACCTCCATCTCCTCCCTATACACACACTTTGAGACTCAGTTCCATAAGGTATATATGAGTGTACTTTACAGTAAAATGTGCCTTGACCTCCAAGGGATTTTCTAAACACAAAAATCCTTGGGACCAAATTGTGCTAAATAGTCAAGAAGAGGGCGAAGTAGTGAAGATTCTCTATTGACTTCTCTAAGTTGGCATTTCTCCACAAGGGTTTTTGGTTAGTGTATAATGTAAACCACCTAGGTCAGGAAAATAAGTCACCATCTTCATTTGTGAGATTCTGGAGCCAAGGGCACACTCAAGTTTGTCATTGTTTATTCCACAAATCTGTATTGATGGCCTGCAAACAAGATACAGCAGAGAACAAAAAAGTTCTTGTTCTCATTGGAGTCTCTTTTTAATAAAAGAGGCACTCAAGAAACAAACAGTGTCAAAGGTGATAGGTGCTGTGAAGGAAAAGGAAGCAAGTTAAGTGGGTAGATGAGTTCTGGGAGGGTGGGGTGCTATTTTAGGTAACATAAGTGCAGTGTTTCCTACCTTCCTTGGTTCCCCATACCTACATCTCACTCATTCACACATTCGGCAAGATCTGTTGCAGTAAAAACAGAAATGAGTGAATGGCCTTTGGCACATACCAGTCAAACAGGCCTGCAGGAGTTAAACAATCTTTGTTATTCTTTAGCTGTTACTACTAGCAAACACTTGTAGCTGAACTTGTCCTTCACAAAGCTAATCACTGTCTGACTGATATATAGATTATATTCTGCACCTGGCGTTCTTTGCCCCCTACACTCTTGTAACATTTTGCATTTCAAAAAGGTGATGGGTCAATAACTTAAGGGTCACTAGACCCAGTTGCTGAGTTGCCTGATGGCAGCTGTGGCCATTCTGAGACTTTGAAGAATAAAAAAAAAAAAAAAAATGCAAGGCCTTTAAGAGGATATAAAACCTCTCCCTATTCCTGAGCAAGGGGGGCACAGTTCTTGAGGAGCTAGCCGGCTATGTTTCCCTTTTGCCTGGCAAAAATAAGAAAGCTACTCTTTTCTGTTTACTCCAAACTCTGTCCCCATATTTCTATTTGGCATTGGCAGACACAGAGCCAAGATTTTGGCCACACAGCTACTGAATGCCCACTCTGTGACAGTCACTGCTTCCATTCCAGTGAGAGAAACAGACAGTAAACAAACTCGTAAAATATGTGATATTTATTATAAGTGGAAAGTTCTATGGAGAAAATAAAATCAGAAAAGGGGGGTGTTGTATCCTGTTTTAAGTAGTGTGGTCATGGAAAGTATCCCTGAAAAAAAGTATATTTGAGGGAAAAGCCAAAAGATATGAAGAATAAGCCAAGCAGAATTTAAGCAGGGAAATACTTGAGATGGGGAGAATAGCATGTTCAAAGACCCTGAGGTGGGATGAACCCCAACACTTTGGAGGAATGGAATAGCTGCAGCTGAGTAAAGAAGGGGAATTAAAACAATGAAGTTGGAGAGATGATCAATTGTGTGCCAGATATGTGGCCAGCCTCTGCATGCATTGAGGGTTCTAGCTGAGGAAGAATGCAGTCTGATGAAGCTTTTATAAGTGGCCTCTGAGGTGAAACAAGAGCAAAGAACCAGACAGGAGGCTATCGCAGTGGTTCAGACCAGAGATGATAGTGACTTTGAAGGTGCCAATGATGGAGCCAGAGAGAAATAGTAGCGTTCTGAAAGTATTTTGCAGGTAGAGTCAAGGTTTGCTTATAGATTGGATGTAGAA